TTCACTAAAAACAGCTGAAACGTAAAAAAAAATAAAATAAAAAAAACTGGGTGACATTTGCTGCAAGAATAGAACTTTTGGTTTCATCTGTGGACATGCAGCACTTTCATTTTTCTTTCTGTGGGTATATTTTTGTGTACGAAATGTCAGATTAATCCTTAAGAAATTCTTCCAAAGGGCATAAAGCCAAACAACTCCTCTGCACCAGCGACTATGGTTGCAGATGAGCAGCTGGCGAGTAAGTTACTGTAGTAACAAGGCATAGTTAATGTAAAAACAACCAATAAAAAGAAAAACAGAGGACAAAACAATATCCATGTTTAATCCACAGATGATGTGTGTTGAGAGCAACAGTTATGGGGCATTACAATAGCTTGACTGACGCGTTGAATAATGGTCACAGTGCATATTTGCCAGCCGTTATACCTCTTTCTGCTGCCGTTCAAGTTCCCTCATTCGAATGTCCCTGGCCTCGGCCCGAGCCGCCCTCTTCGCTGCCAGCCTCGCCTCCGCCTGTGAAACACAACATGAACACACTTGTTAGCCATGAATGGAAACTCGTAAAAAAGGTGCCTTTCACTGAGGACACGCCCCAATGAGTGCAAGGAATAAGCATAAGGAAGGGGATTGCCTCAATCAAACAACAATTACACAGCCCAATTCACAGGAGTTTATTTCAAGTCGTGTTTCCTGTGAGAGAAAAGAGACAGTGGAAAGTGTACACATGGGTTGAGTTCATTTCTGCACAAATGCTTAAGATTGGTTGTGAAAGCCTATGAGAGCATAGCTTTTCACTAGCTGATGCCTAATTAACCTTCTTATGATGAGGTTGACTTTATGGAAGTTCTGCATTGATTAAAAAATAAACCTCAGCGTTGTTAACAAATCAAAAATAAAATGGTTTTGTAATGTACAATCTAGATTAGAGGACAGACATGTACAGCATCAGAAGAACGTGCAGATCTAGAAGTATTTGCATGCAATAGTTAACGCTGCCTCTTCCTAAAAACAAGCACATATTCAAAACAACAGACCACACAGTTTTAGTGACTCACACTGGGATTAAAGCACTTAACCAAAACAAATACAACCCGGTCGATAAATCAGCCAGGTTGACTTGAATATAAGCACAAGTGTACAGGGATCACTGCACATAACGGCTGATAAATAACAAGAAACTGTGCTACGGAAATCCCAAAAATATATTAAGTGTGTTATTTTAGAAGAGTTACTCAATTACATGTAGTATTTTATCCACCAGAGAGCACTGACAAGTTTATCTTTCAACTGTAAAAAGTTCCACTCAGTACATATCTTGGTCTTTAATAAACAGATTTAAGGCCCCCTTCCTTTGAACGTATATATATATATACAAACATAAGTTGATATATTGTCTCATCTCTGTTCCCAATATTCAAAAAAGAAAAAAAAAAAACCTCAAATAACACCAGCCTAACAAATCCATCAACTATCGGGCTCTAATATGAACGGGATGCCCTCACTGACCAGTTCATCCGTGAGCCAGAGGGCTGTAGTCCTGTCCAGAGTGAGTGCTTGGGATGCCTCATCAACAACAACAACAACATGTGCTAACCATCAGTTTCAGGAGGAATGATTAAAAGACCTCATGGGGCACATGCCAGTAGCGGACAAACTGACGGAGAAGTACAGTATCGACAGGGAACAAAGTGAGTCACAATACTGTGGTTCTGCTCGGTCTGTAAACATGGAGGTGATTTCACAATATCAAACTAGCTCAACCCTATAAAGTACAAACAAATCGAAGTCAAAGCCAAACATAGCCCAATAAAATCTCCTCTGGGGGGGGAAAGTGCGAAGAGTCATCACACAATTTCCCCCCAACTGAGTCAGAATATGAACAGGAGCTAATTTTAAAGACCACTTCAGCAGAAGGAGCTAATTTAGGCGAGCCAGTACGCAGCCCTGAGGAGTCACACAGGTGACTATGTAGACTATCCTCCCATTAATACCAATTACATTCCGTACGTGCTCTGAAACTGAACATCCCACCAACAGAGAATGGCACACTTGCTCACGGAGGCTAGCCCTTTATCTCTAACTAAAAGACAGTCCATAAATACAGTGCGTGGTTCGTACAGTATCTCACTGCAGACAAACACTGTCAGCATTCCAGCAATTTCTTATCTGCACTGCCAGAATAGCCCGCCTGTGGGTATAGACTATTCCTGTTTCAATAGCAGCCTGGGGAGAATAAAAACTGTTTTAAAGTAATGTCAAACAACCACCCAAATCCAGGTTCTTCTTACCTGCACACTTTTTTTTTACAGTTTTGTGTAAAAGCAAATTGTTAAACCTAGTTATAAACATTTTAAACCCAGGAAAACACACTTGTGGCTGAGGTTGTGGTAGAGTTTAATAGTAGGAGGAAGTAACCTGTTCTTAAACCTATGGTTTTTCGGCTTATCAGTATAACAAACATCTTGTTTCACAGTGATAAGATACCTTAACTTAACTTCCCAAGATAGGCAACGAGTGAAAACCATGACCCAGAGAGATGCAGTTGGTTTGGGTTAATGAGTGAGATCCATCTATAACCATGGCATAAAAATATGCATTTTTAAGTAGCTAATACACAAATCATCCCTTATAGATGTGAACAAAGAAATATCATTAAATGACTTTTCGAGTGTGTAAATAAGTTTAATATGTAAATACTGACGCTTAGGTTAAAGGCCATGTGGGACATTTCTGTAACCATTTCCGAAGGCCGCTCTGTGTAAATCTGGAGTCTAACTGATGGTCATACAATGAAACATGCTTTGTAGAAGGTGAAAAAAGAATTAAAGTTGCGAATGTGTGAGGAGAGCAAATGAGAAAGCCAGAGAGACGGCTGGCTCTGTACTCTGCACCTGTTGAGCTGTCTGACAGTGTGACCTGCTCTGCACAGCAGCACAGCTGAGCTCTCTGTCTCTGTCCTATCTATAGCCTGGCCCATCCGGCCCCAGCTCTCTGACAGCCATATCATGGGAGGGTAACCTGAGCAGCAGAAGTTCACCATCAAACACACCTCCACCACTCTGGGCAATCAGAGTCCAGCGATTCAACATGAGATCACCTGGAGCACCTGACTGCACACAGTGAGAATATGATGTACCAGCTAATAGTCCAGTTAGGGTAGTTCCAATCAAATGTAAGGGATTTGCTGCTTTACCTGTTTTATATCATTGTAAGTTCTATTAAAGATTACTATTTGGGATTTTTGGACCATTGGTCAGGAAAAAAAAACAATTTGAAAACATCTGGGCTCTTGGAAATTGTGAATAGCTGCAAAGTTCAAAAACGTAATCAAGAGATTAATCAATAATCAAAATAATCAACAATATTCCAATAAATCAAAACTGAAATAAAACATGCAGTATCCAACAAATAATGAAATAAAACAAAACAACAACTAGTAAGTGGAGAAAGACATCTGCAGTTCATTACTGTGATTAATCACTGTGATTAATATTGCTGCATTGATTACCTCTGTACTATGAAAATGAAAAAGATTTCTGAGAAATAAGCGTACAATGGGTATACTAAATAGAAGGCGCTGATATGTAAACTGAATACTTTAAAATCCCCAATAATAAATACATTTGTAAATGCAGAATTTTATTTAGCAACAATCTCTGGCAGTTCAAACAACAAATACTCGTCAATATCATCACCACAAAGCCAGCATACTAGGGTATGTACAAACTACGTATGAAAGAGCTCATAAAAACAGCTAAATTTGTTAAAATACACGGACAGCTTTAAAAATTGGTCAGTACAGTCCCTCTAGGTGCTAATGACTAACCTTCAGGTCTTTTTTCTGCGACAAATTACACCCAATGGATCCTTGTGTTATTATATAAAGTATTAAAAACCACATTATCAGTTGGATCAAACAGTCCTGGCCCACTAATTGTTGACAGACTCTGTTATATATCCTTTATTCTCTGAAGGCAAGACGGTCTCCTAACCATACACGGAAAAATAAAAGTGTGACACTTGACTTGATATCACAAATGAAATCATATGGACTATGAACTATAGCTTCCACAAAACAAAATAAAAAACCACACACCCTCTGTATACTGAGGAAAGTCAATGATTGCCTTGTTCAAGTACCATTAGGTCCCTTAGATCCTAATCTAAAGGGACACCGGGTATGAGATGATCATCTAATTCTAACCACTGTCAGATTTGTAAGCACGCTGCTGGTATTCAAAGGGACTGACTACCCAGAAACGCAAGACGCCTCAGAACTCGGCTGGTGACGGTGCAGGCTCAAATTCACAGTCATTCTCAGCAGTGATCCGTGCCAAGCGCAGGCAGGCAGGCAGGCTGTAACTTTTCTTAATCAGGCACAGACAACGCGAGGCAGAAGCTGCAGTGTTTTGAAGATTTGTTGAGGAGGGGTGGTGATGTGTAACAAGTTAGACACTGACCCCTTGAACTCCCTGCACAGTTGATCTAATCTTTGGTTTGCTCCACAAAGAGATTCAGATTTAGGACCTGACTGGGAGGGTCAGATGACTCATGTTTCTATGATCGGCCTGCATGACTATAAAGAGAGCAAATGGAGCCTTGTGCTTAGTGCCCAAGAATGAGGCAGTGAACAGCTTTCAAACAGCACAGATGAAGCATTCTTAAGATTCACCAAAAGGCAAAAAAAAAGATTGATTTGTTCAGTGCTACAGTGCTACCTGTAAAAGCAAGAAATCATTTGACCTGACAAGAAGCCGTCACAGAAAATCCGCAGACAATTTGCTACTATTTCACCTTTACCAACCAAACATAAAAATACCTTTAAACTGTGAAAAATAATCTTCGTAGTTCATGCTGTGAGCCACCCCATTCTCAAGAAAGGCAAAGGAATGACAGCCCTGCTGTGGAACAAAACGGAATAATCCCAGGGCATGTCGTTACAGGCTAGGCAGCTTCTCTCCTCTGCCCGTGTTTTTCCCCCTCCAAACAAAAACACTACAAGTCAATCTCCCTGTGGTCCAAACCAGCTGTCTCCACTCGAGTGGGCTGAAACACATGTGGATATTCAGGTTCTGCTGGTTAATTTGTAAGTATACGCTTCAGACACAACTTTGACCACTACGTTTCAAATGAACATCATTTATTGCGTAACAGATACATGTTTCTCTCCCAAGTTGAGTAAAAGCCTGGGTGTTGAACGATTAATTTGGGAGTAGACCTAAAGTTTGACACATTACGCATTATCTGCCAGGCTGCATTAAAATCTGAATCCATCCCAATATTTAAAAAACTGTCAAAGCAACAAGTCCTTAAGTTAAATGCTATTAGAGTTACGCAAAGTTGACTTATTACCATCCAAACTTCTGACAAAAGCAAACAATATCTGCAAATATCTACAAAAAAAGCGTTAATATAAAAACAATGCCAAATCTAATCCTTATAGTTCTCTCCTTAAAATAATTACTTAGAAATGGATCACACCTTTGACAAGCATAACGTTTAGAAGGTGATCACAGCATGTTTCTCTGGTTTAGGTAATGATAATGACACAACATGGACTACAGGTACAACTGAAAACAGCCTACATACACATCAACATTTTCCGGCTTTGGCGATATAACATTTCATATGGGTTTTAGTTTAAAAGGTTTCTCTTTCAGCCATAATGCTGTGTCAGCCAGTCATATAAGTGCTGATAATGGTTTCAACTGTCTACTCACGTTCCCTTTATCCTCAAATGTGATTGTGCTGCAGCCCATATTAACAACATCTGGGATTGATAAAACAATCTTCTACCCATGTTTAAAGAGCCCACTATCCGGATGAGGATAAACAACAAAATGTGAGCTGTGTAAAATCATATAAGCATCGATTAAGCAATGCACGAATGGATGGTAGCATTGATCCATGCCAGTTTGCTCCAAAATGGGAAGAAGTGTGTGATGGGGAGTTTGAACTCACCTCTCGGGCAATGCTACTCAAAGCCTCATCCTCTGCCGAGAACCGATCTTTCACAGGGGCTCGCTTTCTACCAGAACCTTGTGTCCCCATGTTGCCTCTGCAACCGTAGCAGCTCCACCGGTGATGTACGAGTCCAGAGAATACACAGAACTGTATGCAAATGCCTAGAGAAAGAGAGAGAAAACAAAACTAATTTTAACAGGGGCTGTAAACAAAAGCCATGTGTTGGAATAATCTGACAAAACGCATGAGGGCTGTCTCCAGTTTCAACGACATTTCATTGTGCGAGGTTTAATGCACGCCACTCTCACTAACAACCCATACAGTCTCTTTCTTACCACAGAAACAGACAGTCTCTCATGTACGGCACCTACAATGGCTTCGGATAAACAGTTGTGGCTGACATGCAGGGCCACTGCAACCCTATAAATAAACATATGAACATAACATTCCCATAAACAACAGCTAATGGTGTCCACAGCAGGGAATGATACTATCATATGTTGTTTTTTTTTTTTTATGTTTGTTCACTGCTGAGGCTTTTTGCATTAACAGCTGGTGAGTTAGTGCTGCTCAGTGTTTAATGGACATTCAGATAATATCAAAAGTTAGCAGACAGACAAAAGAGCAACTCTCGCTGGCTGGTAAAGACAGGAGGGGGGAGGAGGGGGGAGGAAACGCCTAGTTCAGGACCCGACTGAGTCAAAGCGAGGGCATGAGCACTGCTTTAAGATGACCCCACGTTAAACCCTGTGGACTTATAATAAATATATATATATATATATAAATATAAATAATGAAACCAGTCTGACCAGCTCTCAGAAGAAACGTCCGGCTTTGATTAAGCGACTGGGAGAAGTTACCATTAACGTCAGCTACCCAACTTCACACTAACTTACTGCAGCGTTAAACACCCCATTCACCGAAACCTTACATTACTGCCCCTCTACACCCGCTAGCTGCCCATTAGAGGGAGGGGGGGGGCAATAGATATTAACTACCACGGCTAGGTTAAAGCTAAAGTTACACTGCCCTGTTAGCGTTAGCCAGCTCACTGATAAGCTAACTAGCTGACTCGCATTTCGTCCTCCCGACATTAAAAAGTTTTTTGTTCTTACTCCGCCGAACAAAAGCGGACATATCCCCCCCCCCAACACCACGGCTATCTCTCTGTGAGGTTAGCTGATCGGGTTGTAGCTGGGTGGTTAGCCTGGATAGCCAGTGGGGGCTAACCGAGAGGCAAGCTGGCATCGACCCCACCACCACCACCTAGAAACAAACACCCAGCGTTACCTTAGCGACACCGTCAAACAACCCGCGGTGCTACCGAGGTGTGCTCCCTGTTCTCCTGCAGGTTTTAAGGGAGAGCCCACAGATTGGTGGTGTTTTTTTTCGTCCACACTGACAGCTGTCATCAGTCCGCCCTCCCTGCGCCGCTCTCCGCTGCCCCACTTCCACACTCACTGGTCGGCTCCGGGAAAGGTCCCGGATGTTAGGGTGTGATGGTGCCTTCACGGGGCGTCGGACACATCAGACGTCAACCGCTTTAACTGACTGGAGAGTGTTTTTTTTTTTTTTTTCCATTGAGTGATACTTAATAGTCCCTATTTAACTACATATGAAGTGACTTTCCAGTATTCGGGTTTTTTAGGGGCTGACAGCATGGAAACTGCTGTAATGAGTACTGACGCACACTGCTGGTAGTATTATTCATACTATATAAAGACTGTAATGCCATTTCTAGCTTCTTTCAATGCTCTCATCGGACACCCAATTTGGATACATGATTCTTATTGCTGTGATTGCTTATTAAGACATTAGTTTAGTATTTTTAAAGTAATAAATATGATTTGCACATGTACAAATAGACACAGGCTTACCATATTCTACATTATTGTATATAGAGTTGCTATTTTTTATATTCTATTGTATTATATTATGTATTTTATTGTTTTTACTCTTCCTCCTGTACTGCTGTGCCAATTTGAATTTCCCCCATGGGGGATTAATACAGGAACATCTAATCTTATCTGAGTTCTACTTATAAGGGGTTTTAAGTCTTTACAACGACAGAATCAAATATATACTTGTGCGAAGCATTTAGCAGCCTCTGTATGAACAACAGAAGGTGAATAATTATAATCTGTAAAAAATGTAATTGGCTGTGAACATCAGTCAGTTTCCCCCTCTGTTTTTCCAGGTTATTTTTCCAATTAAGTGAATTAGGTAGCCTTACTATGAACTCACCTTGGCGTTAGAGCTTTCTTGTTTTAGAAGAGAAGCCTAATGTTATACTGTATTTCAAATTAATTAATTATTTTAGGTATAGGTAAAGGTATATACCATATAACAGAAAACCTACCACCTACATAAAATATTGAATATAAGCATAAGCATATTTAGTTTGTTCCGTAGAGCATAGAGCATCATTTTTCATATTCTTTAATTGAATGCATTTACAGTACAGCACCACATTTTGTTTTGTAGTGCAGGTCAAAATTATCCTAGTTCTTATAATATTTTATCCCTATAATAACATATAAAGCAAACAATATTCTATATTGCCAACTAACAATAGCAATATAGCGTATAAATAAAATAAAATAAAAACACAACCCTTGTCTTTTGACACAATCTGTTAGCTGTATCGGCTATTTACCTTTTGTCCACAAGAGGGCAGTGGAGGATAAAACATTTTTCTTGTGTGCTCGTGTGAAATGGCATACTAGCTATATTCAGCATGTAAATGGATATGCTCATCAAAATAAATCACCATAAATCCAGCATGCAGGTTCCATGATGATATTTAAAGTGTAGAACATTGTGGCACATTAAAAAATTGCAGTCTGACATAGATAATGATAATTACAGGATAGAAATCAGTGCACAGCAGAATAACTTCTGTTACAGTATAATCAATGCAATCAGTAGCAATATATATATGCATATATTATCTTTTTTGCATTTTGTTTTTAGGTGGCAGAGCACTTGCTCGAGAGATTTTCATACGGGACCTACATGGGAAATCCCTGATTGACACCCATAACACAGGTTGCGTGCAGGTAAACACACACTAACACACACCCACACAAGCAGTTGCTGTATTATTCTCCCTCATTCCAGGAAGCTAATGACTGTTTTGTCTCTGATCACCCCTCTCCTTTTGCTACCTTGCAGACAGACTTTACTGGAGTCTTAACCCAAAGACACCATCAGCCATACAGTCTCCAAACTACCACTCCTGGTAAACTTTCCATGTAGTCAGCACTAATTAACCACATTTCACAGTCATAATGATAAAGGATCCCATCTAAATCGACAACAGATGCACCGCACTGCGTTCAGTTACGCTGCTGCTGATTAAACTGCTGACAGAACAGATAGTCTTCACATGAAAATGGAAAATAAATATTCTGTTAACTTACATAACATTGTGAAGTCTGCTTTTTTGCTCAGTTCAGACCTGTAACAATGTGGTTTACTGTAACAAGAAGAAATAAAGAACCCTGTGAATTGTCTGAAGGAAAAGACATGCCTTCATAAAGAAAACAAAACGTGTGATTGTTGGAGAAGCCATAGGTGGAAGCAGTGGAGAAAAACAGAAGGCCTGAAGGCAGCCAGACAGTGCTTAAGTATGTTTGTCTAGTTTTATGGCCCTTTTAACTCATAAACACTCAACCCTCGGCTTGTTTTCCTGGGATAGACAGGCAGCTTCACCAAACCTGAAAATGTCACCCTACATGTCTTTCCCTTTAGTATCTTTCTGCCTTTGTCAGAGCTCTCCTCATCTGTTACTCTCACCCAGTAAACACTGTGCTACAGCATGTGTTTTTTGTGTGCGCTTGAGGGTGGATTTGTATAATTTTGGATGGCATGCATCACCAGTCGGTGATCAGCGGTTGGAAGCACCTCCCACTGCGTTAACAGGACTGGCTCAATTGTTAACTGGTCTGTCTTTAAGCCTGACTCTCCACAGAAAAAGAGTAGAAACCATGGAGCCCCAACTTGTAATTACCCCATGGAGGGCAGTGCTGCTCCCTCTCTCCATCTTCTCTGGAGCCCTTTGAAGATGCCCCTTAGGGAGTTGGTTGTAATCAGGACACATGACTCATTGATTACTCCTTTGCGGTCTTCCAGGAACACCGCACAAGGAATGGACGCTGCAGGGGGGATGGTAGTCCCTTCAGACTGTGCAGATAGGCCGGAGGTGCACATGCAGTATGGACAGCATGGTCTGGGGCTTGGACACAAATTAGATGCTATAAACAATCGGATGTGCATTGTTTTTCTGGTGGTTAGCTCAGTTGGTCTGTTAAAGTGGCTATTCATTACTGTCTGGAGCAAGGATGGGCAGCCTATTATGCCAAGGAAGGCCATGAGTCTGCAGGTTTTCATTTCAGTCAAACTCATTAGTACACTGATTAGTACAATGTCAGCCAGGGAGAGGAGGAACTAATCAGTGAATGCATCTGGTTCAGTGGTGGGTTTAAATAAAACCCATATATTATCCAATGTAAACAAACCATACACAACATATCAATTTACATATGTTGTACATGAACATACAGTGTTTGTGTTTTTTGTCTGGCATGATTATGGCCAGCAGGATATACATTTAATATGAAATGCTTACATTATATTTTGGGTATGCCACTTTAATACCACATAATTATACAGTGAAGACGTTAAAGGAAGTTTTGCAAATAAAACTGGCCATAGTACACAAAATGAGTTCTCATAGCTCTTCATGGGAAATGGCTGTGAATCCCTGAAACATGTAATTAGTCACATAACCTGTACTTTAGCTGCCCTCTCTGTACCACATTTCATTTCATTACTTTCCTACATTGTGCTCAGTTGAGTGTCCTAAAACAGGGTGACTGGATATTGTAAATGGCAAGGTTATAGAGAGAGTTATCTCTAATTGTGCGAAACCGAGGGCCTGGACAAAGGTTTTATCTTCATAGTCAGACTTGCAATAGATTTTTAGACGATGCTTCGTTTAGCATTGAGAAAGACATCTCTGGTAAACAGAATGGGCAAAGCTAGTAGACCATAAAAAAGATCATAAAAGATGTCTTTTGATGTTTCTGGGCTTGCACTCTGGACACCTGTGGGGTTGAACCCAGTGACTGGCTGTCCTATGTGAACATGTTGAGTAGAGGTAATTGGGTCATTACTTGTCAAGAAGCAGAATTAAAGCCTGAGGCAATGCTTTAGGCAGTGGAAATGTGTATTAATTGCAATGTGCAGGGGGGAAAGAAATTGATAAACCACCTGTTCTAAACAAGTTTGGATTCATTTAGAATTTGTTTGTGCAATTTTGTCTCCCTGCTTCTGCCTCACCACCCACGAATGGAAACATGTATCTTTTTGTCAGTTAACTGTCACGAATGATATAGGCTATAGGCTGTGGTTTCTATTTATATTTGAATTGTCATTTGGCAGTCAAGCGTTGTGGATGTCTTGCCTTTCTCACAAAGTTCTATGCCGGATGTCTCATGCCTTTTCTGGGAGAGTATTAGTGGTGTGGGGTGTGTCGTTCAGGCCTGTTCAGATGGCAAAACAAGAATCAGAGGAGCGTGGAGCTGCAGACGAGCCACATACGTACACCAAAGTCATTGTTGATGACCACACCGGAACAACAGTAGTCGTGGAGCAGCAGAAAAGGCCTGCAGCAGGGAAAGTTCAAAAGCCAATGAAGGAATGCTGTCCACTTACCAGAGGCTTGTAGAGAGGCTCATTGGTCACATTAGTGTCTTTATCTTGTCAGCGATGAGGAGCTTTTGTACTGCAGATGATATGTTAGCGTATGTCCTCTACTTGTTTGTCTCCATTCATATTGTGATCGCTGGACGATAACATTTCAAAGTCTGCGTTTTTGTGTAAAAAGCAACCCGTAAATAAGACAGCTGTCATGCAGATAGTGTTTGTGTGTGTGTTGCCTTGTGTATTCGTGTGTCTTTGTCTGCATCTGTGTATTTGCCTGGATTTTAACTGATTAGTATTGTTTAGTGTGGCAACCATTTAAAGGTCTATAATTCTTTATTTGCCTACATTTAGCATCTTCTTGCCTCCCGCCCGTTATAAAGAGAATGGCTAGCCTAATCAGGGGTCTTCTTTGGGGGTGGGCTGGGCTTATTTGCCAATTGACATTTGGTGAAAGGGTGTTAGATGGAAAAAAGCACCTCACACCATGAGGTAGAAGCCTCACACCAAAACTCATTTCAGACATGTTGTGTTTGTGTGTAAAGAGGAGCTTGTGTTTGAGTGTAAAGAGGAACTCGTTTAACCACTCTCTACTCAGAGCAGAGCGCACTCTCTCTGTGCTGTGTGAAGTGTGTTGATGTGTGCCCATAAACATCTTCTCCTTTAAGAAATATTTTGATGTAAATAAATGAAGCGGAGATAAATTGGCCTATTTGCTTCTTTTTCATTGTTTCGACAGCACGATGGGTGTAATTACATGTTGATAACCTGTATTTGGGACCTGTTATCTTAGCATTATCATTACAATAGCAGGCTGATTTTACCCTGTAATTACTTTAGTGGGACAAGACAGGTGCAGTTGTGCAATATTGATAATTACAGGTAATTTAGGTTTAGCACTGCAAATGCATATCCATGAGGAATGTCTAAAAAGCTTTTCTTCGGTTGAGTTTCCGGCTGATTTAATGCTTAATCAATTGTCTGAGCTAAGGTTCTCAATAATCTTTCAGAGATTTGTCCCAAAGTTGACAACCTGTTCAAGTCTAATTCTACGATATGTTAATTTTGTACTTGGGATGTGGCAAACCTGCTTGATAAACCTAGATACTATACTTTACTATACTATACTACAATAAACTATAAAACTAGATCAATCTATATTATGATGGAAAATATCAGCTTCCTCCAGCACATTACTGGTCCTCCAGCACATTTAAACTGACAGCAAATCAAGTTAAATTCGCTGGTATCGTGTGACCTGAGGCTAATAAAGCTCAATCCTCTCTTGCGTGACGCTATAAGACTCAGCAGTGCTCATACACTTTATAATGACTAGGCATTTCTGGCAGTAAAGTGACTCCAACTTGATGTGCTTGCTTTTCCGACTTCTTTGAAGAGTAAAGTAGAAACAAGGCAAGAGCAGAAAGACCGAACAACATGATGGGAAAGACAGGCTCTGGACAGTGAAGAAGTAATGGGTCTGAATCTAAGCCCCTCATTAGACGAGACTCATCCAGGGATGGAGGATGGGACTCTGCGGGGGGCCGCAATGTCAGATTTGCTATGAGGAAATGGCAGAGCACTAGGAATGTGTAGTGAAGTAAAAGTCAGCTGACTGCTCTTTGAACTGACTTTCTCTCTCCTTCTCTTCAGTGAACACTTTTTTTCATTCACGTCTACAAAGTATGTAATTGGCATTGCATTTCACCATATATTTTCATGTGAATTTATACCAAGAAATACCCTAGAAACAGTCATGTATTGGTGAGATAGATTTTTACACATTACTCTCTGTGGGTTGGAAAATACTTCATTTACATCCGAGTTTCATTGAAACCGATGCACCTTTTAGCAACTGTGCTCAAGAGTTTTCACTTGTCTTATCTGTGATTGGGATTAAATTGCCTTCAGTTGAGTCTAACAAGCACATTCAATTTGTAATTATTTTAGATACAGAATCCTTTGACTATGTTAGTTTAGCGTGTTGGCTTGCTAATCAACACAAAGTACAGCTGACAAATTAAGATATAAACCTGACAGAACTGAATGTAAAGTCCACTAATCCATTCAGTAGAAGCTGGAATATTCCTCTAGATAAGGGCAAACCTTGACCTGTGGGGGCACTAGAGGAAAAGGGGATCTCCAAAGCTGGTAGGATTCATCCTCTGGGAAACATGAAGGTCTGTAAGAATTTTTATTGCAATTCATCAAATAGTTGTTGAAACTGAACCAACAGACAGACCAACATTCCTTGAGCTACACAGGTAGTTTGGCTAAAATGTTACTCTAGATTTAAAGTGCTAAAGCAGATGATATATGCTGGTGGAAAACTAGTAATCACATAAATGCAATTCTCAAAAATGTACCACCCAACCGTTACCTGAATTAAGAATATTTTGCTAAAATGGTAAAATTCTTTTCTCAGTTATTGCTGTTTCATTCAAACAATAAGAGAGAACCCATATTAACTCCTATTAAGAATCAGTAAAGATCTTTTCATCAACAGGGGAGCAGGCTTGCCCTTTCATTATGCTAAACACAAGCACACATCGCTTCTTAATTGAACTGATTACAATAGGTGATTGATGCCAATTATTCCCCTGCCACCACTTCAGCACACTCCATGGTGCAAGGATTTACAGTAGCCCTTTACTGGGGCATATGTG